CGAGAATTTGTGACACTTTGTGCTAGGTTTGCGGGGGGGGGGGAGGGGGGGGGCAAAAATTTGTGTCGTCACGCACTTTTTTTTTAAATCTTAATTTTCTAATTTTGATAAATCGGTTCAAATAACTTTAAAAACATCAATATTAGGTCGAAACTTATCGGAAAATAACCAAAACTGTTGTGACGATTTTGCATTGGGGTCGGGAGGGACTTCGTTGTTTTCGTTATAAGTCACAGTTTTCTAATAATACTAAATCTTAATCCCTTATGGGGAAAAGTTAACCCTAACAAACTAACACACATCTAATTAACTAACCTAACAAACATACTAACGTAACAACCTAACAAACATCAAACTTACTAACCTAACAATCTAACAAACATTAAACCTACTAACCTAACAACCTAACAAACATCAATCTTACTAACCTAAAAAAAAAACATCAAACTTACTAACCTAACAACCTAACAAACATCAAACTTACTAACCAAGCAACTTAAAAACCAACTTACTAACATTTCAAATATCAAACGTACAAGCCTAACAAACATCAAACTTACTAACCTAATAACCATCAAGTTGCCCAGTCTACAAGATGACAAGACATTGTTCCAATGACAACTGGTCGATAAAGATTGACATCTTTTTGCTTAATTTCCTTTGTATTGTGGACATGTCATGGATTTACAAGAGGCCAGTAGACACTCATATCTATTTATACTTACATGACTACAAATAGTTCATTAAATCCAATCACTAGATCAATACAATAAAGCCATACTAACAGATGTAACTGATCTCGGTGCTGACCGGTGCTACAAATGACTGACCAGCAATAAATATTCTGTTATGGAAATCAAGAACATTATAAACGAAGGCCATTAATACTAATATAGCAATAATAAAGAAAGAAGATTACATAATGACCGTTAACCTCTGTATTTGAGACGTAGGGCATACCATAATGCTATTGAGGAACATGTCAGAACGCTTAGAGTCGTCAACATTACCATATCCCTCGCTTAACCTAACGATATCTCTTACCAGACGAAAGAGATTGGCCACCATTACCAAGAGCTCTGAGGGGAAAATTCAATAGAGCTATGCGGTTATTTTGTTCGCTTGCGATTCGTTTCGAGAGTTTAGTAAAAATATGAAAGCGGGGGCCACCCCACAAGTCCGTTCATAAAGATCACCTTAGAGGGAATCTAGTTTTGAAGCACTCTCGAACCGTTACGTTTTTCTAGGCCTGGTTCAAAACAAACTTTAAGAGTCGCTTAAGAATAACCGGCTTAAGTTACGTTTATTGCCTGAAGATAGTGAGGCATTTTTTCTAATCATCCGAAACATTGATGTGGGTACACCAATGATACCGCTGCTTTCTCGCTCAGGTACACAAACCTTTGTTTGGTTTCGTTTTAATGGCACGAACAAACTGTAAAAGTATCGGGCTAAGCATAGAGCTCCTCAAACCAGTCTATGGTGACCCAAAAATAGTTGTTGTCTTTTTTTAAAACATGTTAATGTCTTTAAATTAATTCAAAAATGACGTATTTGGTTAAGAAAGAACCAATTGTGAGGACCACTGATGTCAAACAATGCTACGTCTGGCATCATGTGTTATGGTATGATGTGATACAATGGATGACTGGTATGATGGGTTACAATGGATGACTGGTATGATGTGTTACAATGTATGACTGGCATGATGTGTTACAATGTATGACTGGTATGATGTGTTACAATCTATGACTGGTATGATGTGTTACAATGTATGACTGGCATGATGTGTTACAATGTATGACTGGTATGATGTGTTACAATGTATGACTGGTATGATGTGTTACAGTGTATGACTGGCATGATGTGTTACAATATATGCCTGGTATGATGTGTTACAGTGTATGACTGGTATGATGTGTTACAATGTATGACTGGCATGATGTGTTACAATGTATGACTGGTATGATGTACAGACGTGTTTCAATTGTGCACTAGAAATACTTTCAGAGATGGCCACATTGAAATACTTAACAAATTGAACTATTTCTAATGGTTCATGTGTTATTCGATTCCAAGCAAGACATTTGTCTCTACAACAAGTCTTCGGACAGTTTGCAATGGCACAGTATATATATACAATGTGTGACGTCATTCCTGTTCCATTTTTATCACCCAGAGAAAACATCTCCAGCCATCTTTCCAACGAACATGGGAGAGCTTTGGACTATGTGCAGGTTCACTAAAAATTAAGTTTATTGATCCAATTAAAAGCCACAGTTTGAAACACAGTTTGGCTGTCGTCTGCCACTTGACATGCACAGTTTGGCTGCCGTCTGCCACATGACATGCTTTCTTTGGCTTCCGTCTGCCACATGACATGCTTTCTTTGGCTTCCGTCTGCCACTTGACATGCACAGTTTGTCTGTCGTCTGCCACTTGACATGCACAGTTTGTCTGCCGTCTGCCACTTGACATGCACAGTTTGGCTGCCGTCTGCCACTTGACATGCACAGTTTGTCTGCCGTCTGCCACTTGACATGCACAGTTTGTCTGCCGTCTGCCACTTGACATGCACAGTTTGGCTGCCGTCTGACACTTGACATGCACAGTTTGGCTGCCGTCTGCCACTTGACATGCACAGTTTGGCTGCCGTCTGACACTTGACATGCACAGTTTGGCTGCCGTCTGCCACTTGACATGCACAGTTTGTCTGCCGTCTGCCACTTGACATGCACAGTTTGTCTGCCGTCTGCCACTTGACATGCACTCTTTGGTCTCGTAGCGTCAACCCTCCATTTCTAAGTGCACTTTTACCACTCGTCCCCACCCCTTAACCTCAAAATACACCCACCCCCCCTTCCCCCATTTTTTTTTAACCACCAGACCATAACAATCTCTTTATCAGTGGATCAAATTCATATTAGTATCCTGTTACCCAGACCTGGTTCGAGGTTAATCCTTGTATCACATATTACACAAATTTACTCGATATTTGAAAGCATATGGCAGGCTGACGCGCCAAATCCCCTAAAACGATCTTCCACTCAGCGATATTAAAAGCGAAATTTGACAACGTGATGATCAATGTGAAAAGCATATACAGCAATAAGAATCCGTGTTTAATGTGACATTTCACTCTCTCAACTTTTAGAGTTAACATATGACATCACACATTCGACATCTTACACCCAATATAT